ATTTTTCGGTTTTCGGTTTATTCGGTTATCGGTTTTTCGGTTCGATTTTCACGGTTTGAATCGGTTTGGATCGATTGATGAACACCCCTACCAGGCATTCACGTATAAGTTAGGCGTAACTCATTTGGTGTTGTCTATGACACAAAAAAGTCAACAATTTTAAACTTCGAAAGGCCATAACTTTTGATTCGAGAGTCCGAATCAAATAAATTTTTTTGTTTCCATATAGCTTTTCGAGATCTATGCAATGACACCTTATTTGGCATATTACATCTCTTACAAACACATTCTGAATTTACAATAATGGTACTATAAGTGTGTTTAAATCCAAAACCCTCAGACTTTTATCCGAATCAATATCTAACCAAGTCTTCTGCCAACTAGAATCTCCTTATCTCTATCCTATGAGCTGTATTCTTATCACTGTAAATTGAGACCTTATCTTGTAAGTCGTGGTCTGAAATTAAACATGGCACTAAAATGGGTTAGTGCATCTATAAATAGAGATACTTAATATCATAGTAAAATATATATTTTCTATAAGTGTTTGACCAAAAAATTGTGTATAATAATGTGAGAAAAAATGCCACAATATAAAAGTGTGACAGATTGGTGAGAATATAATATGTGAGAGAGATTGGTGAGAATTCTAAGTTCACACACACACACACACACAAGAATTCTATGTTCTTTAAGTTGCATTCAAAAATGTAAAACTTTTTATGTATTGCATTAAAAATATATAAAAGTTTCTCTTCATTTTCTATTTCTCTTAATTTCTAACATTCTGTAACTTCATGATTACAACTGCGGAATCCAATTGTAGGTTTTTCATGGACATCCAATCCGATTTCTGATCCCAGGTTTAACTTGATATATTGACTGCACAACAGAAAAATGTATAATTTCCTCTCAAGTGAAGTACTTTGATTTCTTAAAAATAGCCTCACAAAATGTGAAAACAAAATTCGGAGTGTAATTTCCTTTATTTTAGATCATTAAATAAAGAATTCTATGACTTATTTTGGTTCGAAAAAACTCGAAGGCTTCCGGGTTTAAACGTTCTCTAGTACCATTGTTGCAAACTCGAATTGTGTTTGTGAGAGATAAAATATGGCAAATAAAGTGTCATTATGTAGATATGAAAAAAAATTATATGAAATCAAAAAACAAATTATGTGATTTGGACTAGGGCTGTGCATGGGTCAGGTCGGGTCAGGTTTTTGTCCCGACTCGACCCAACTTGGTTTTTATAGGTCAGGTATTTTGACCTGACCCGCTTTAATTTGATCAAAGTCAGGTCTGACTTAGTTTGGATTTTTTTGAACTAGTCCAGAACCGAGTCGGATTTGACCTGACTTGGTTTCTGAAGTGGGTCTGATTTGGTTTCTGAAGTAGGTCACATTTGTCCTGACCCGTTTTTGACTTGGTTTCTACACAAAATTTCGTCGAAATTTCTACGTTGCAAATGATGAAAATTTTGTCACAAAATTATTTTTTCGTTGGAATATTTTTTGTCGAAAAACGACGAAATTTTTTCTCTTTTGAATTTTTTTACAAAAATAAGTTTTCTATCGAAATTTATTTTCCGTCAAAAGTTTTGACGAAAATGATTTCATCTATCAAATGTTTTAAATGAAAAAAGAATTCCGTCAAAATTTTTGACGAAATGTTTTTCGTTCAAATTTTTGATAGGAATGTGTTCTGACGAAAATTTCGACGGAAATTGTTTTGATGTAAATATTTCTTTCGAAACTTTTAACGAAATTTAGATTCTCTAAAGAATTTTGACAGAATATTTTTCCATCGAAATTTTTTATCGAAATAATTTTTGTCAAAAATTTTTACGAAAATTTTGGACAAAAATGTGTTCCGTTGAAAATTTTGATGAAAATATTTTTTATCAAAAAACTTAACGAAAATATTTAGTCGAAAACTTTCGATGAAAATGTTTTTAGCTAAAAATTTCGACGAAATTTTTTTTTTTTTTGTCAAAAATTTTAACGAAAATGTTTTCGTCCAAAACTTTCGCCAAAATTTGAATTCTGCAAAGAATTTTGATTAAATTTTTTTCCGTCAAATAATTTCGATGAAAATGTGTTTCGTCAAAATTTAACGAATATATTTTGACAAAAATATTTAGTCGAAAACTTTAGTGAAAAATGTGTTTCGCTAAACAAAAACTTTTTTTGTCAAAAGTTTAACGAAATGTTTCCGTCGAAAACTTTCGCCGAAATTTGAATTCTGTAAAGAATTTTGATGAAATTTTTTTCTGTCAAAAATTTTTTATGAAAATGTTATTCGTCAAAATTTAACGAAAATATTTAGTTGCAAACTTTCGATGGAAATGTATTTCGCTAAAAATTTTGGCGAAATTTTTTTTTGTCAACAAGTTTATAGAAAATGTTTCCGTCGAAAACTTTCGCCGAAATTTGATTCTGTAAAGAATTTTGATGAAATTTTTTTTCGTCAAAAAATTTCGATGAAAATGTGTTTCATCAAAATTTAACAAATATATTTTGACGAAAATATGTAGTTGCAAACTTTCGATGGAAATGTGTTTCGCTAAGAATTTTGACGAAATTTTTTTTTTGTCAAAAAGTTTAACGAAAATGTTTCCGTCGAAAACTTTCGCCGAAATTTGAATGTTGTAAAGAATTTTGATGAAATTTTTTTCCGTAAAAAAATTTCGATGGAAATGTGTGTCGTTAAAATTTTTGATAAATGTTTTTTTGTGAAATATTTTGACGAAATTTAGATTCCGTAAAAAAAGTTGTCAAAAAAATTTTTGCAAAAAAATTTGATTTAATTATTTTAACGTTACAACTTTTCTTTTAATGTAATTGTGATTTTTTTTCACATAATGGGTATGGGTCAAGTTTTGGGTCGATGGGTCGTTATTAAAACAAGTCAGGTCTAAAACTGACCCAAATAAAAGTGGGTCAGTATTTAAACCAGTTCAAAAAAATAGGTATTTATGGGTCAGGTCAAGGTCAGATCAAGGGCAGGGCAAGTGAACCAGTTTTTTCCACACCCCTAATTTGGACACTCGAGTCATAAATTATGGTCTTCCAAAGTTTTACGGTTAAAATGTTAATTTTTTGTGCCACGTGTCAACACCAGATAAGTCACACTTAATTTAGGCGTGAATGGTCACACCCAAATTGGGCGTGAATGAGTGTAATAAATTCTTAAATAATTTCAAACCAGCTATATATTCGTAATTATTTATTAAAACAACAATATTTTAATTTTTTTGCCCTTGTATATATATGACAAAATGATTTATAATGTGACTGCATATAAGTATTGGTGTAGTCACCTAAAAACTACGTCATTTTGGGTGAGATAAAGAAAATTCGCGTTCAAAATTAATTGTAGAAAATAGAAATATTATATTTATTTCTATCTTTGTATGGTTATGATTCTCCATATTTAATGCTTTATATTTATTTCCAACTTTTGTATGGTTATAATTCCCAATATTAAATGCTTTCACACTATAAAACGACGTAGTTTTATAAGACTGCATCAATCCTTAAGTGTAGTCACTGTACATCTGTTAAACCCTGTATATATATACCCTATATATATAAGCCAAATTTTCACTCTTTTGTTTTTCTGAAAAAAAATTTCATCAAATGTTAGTTTTAGAAAATCAGTTCACATTCTATAAATAATTGATAATCAATCAAATATAGAATCAAGAAACTTGAACTAATGAATATTTTTGCCTACGAAATAGCTTTTTGGTAACATTAATGAGAAATTTATTTTTTCAGCATATTCACCAGAGTCATGATTTCTAGGAATTTTTTTTTCTTCACTACCAACCACTCTCTACTACCATCAAGCACTGAACTCGAATTTGAGTCTATAATACCTCTTTTGTGGTCTGACTGGTCGAGTAATTGATAGACCCATTAGATTAGTGTTGTAAAAATTGGATTGAACCAGACGGTTCGAATCGAAAATCGATAAACTGATCGATCTGGGTAAAGTAATGGACTGGACACGTAAACAAATCGATACCAAAGTAAACCGGCAGATTTTACTAAAATTGATTACTCGCCGAGTTAAAAATAGACAACATAAAGGAAGGAAAAGCATCAGAGAAAATGGAATGGTGGAGTTGACTTGGTCAACAATGGAATCCACTGGGAATATGATGGTTTGCTGTACGAGTAAAATAGTCGTTTCTTTCTCTTTACCAACCACTGCTTTTGTACTTTGCATTTATTATATTGTATTGGAAAGTGGAATGCATTGATTGCATTTATTATATTGTCAAAGTAAAAAGAGTAATTTATTATATTGTCAAATGGGACAAGTAATTTGCAAACCTACGGTCCTTTATTAAAAAGTTTATTATGTTAAATTGTAGACTAAATACCCTTTTTTTATTCTTAATAAAAAATACATAATCCATTTTAATTTTTTTAAAAAAAAATTCAAATTAGTCTTTTTTGAAAAACTAATGTCAAATATGGATTTTTTTAAATTTCTGAGGACCACAATTTCAAAGAATTAGAGTTTTAGAGAAATCACACGTCGATTTTTTATTTTTTTTAAGGGATTAAAATAAATTCTGTATTTTTTCTTGAGAATCCAAAAGAATATTTACTCTAAATTGTATTTGAAAGGTGATATACAAAACGTGATATTCATTACTAAACAAGTTAAAATATTTAAAATTGAAATAATTTTTTACAAATATTTATAATTTTTTAAATATAAATTATAAATTTACATATACTTATCAAATATATCTGAAAAAGCAACCTACTTATCAAATCATTCAGTTGAAAAAGTAACCTATTAATTGAAAAAGTAATCCATGATCCAATATCTCTACTTAACAATCGAGTCGTGTGTAATAACATTTATATCCAAAAAATAAATAGATTAATATGCTATTAGTCAAAGGGGCTGCTTCTGCTCCATAACAATAACAGAACCACACCATCTCTTACCTTCATTCTTCTTTCTTCTTTCTTCTTTGTTTCTCACTCGACTTCAATGGAACCCTTACCTTGAAACTAGCAATAATTCATGGTAAGTTCAACTCAAATCCTTAATATAACCATATCATATTAATTTATTACTCGTGTTGTATAAATTTTTTTTTCTCTGTGAACAAAAGAAGCGGTTTGGGTTTTGGTGATTGTTGGTGAACAAAGAGAGGAGGACGATGGATCCAAACTTGCAGGGATCTATTGATTTCATAAACAGTTACCAGTTTGGTGAAGACAGCAACACAATCGTGTGGGATCAAAATCAATACGAAACCGATTGGGATGTTAACGGAATCCTTCTTGATCAGCCTTATGCGGATTCACTTGGTTTTTCTCTGCATACAAACCCTGTAGAAGGTGAAGGTGCCTCTGCAGATCCTTCACTAGAAGACAATGATTTCTCAGAAACCGTCAAATTCATAAGCCAAGTTCTGATGGAAGAGAACGTTGAACAGAGGCCGTTTTATGACCCTCTGAGCTTGCAAGTCACTGAGAAATCATTCTATGATGCTCTCACTGAAAACATACCTCTTTCCCCTAATCAACACCCCCTTGATATTCTGAGTCACGACGGTGGAGCCACCAGCAGCAGCAGCAACAGCGGCGGCGGCGCTAGCAACTCTTTAGATGACAATTCTCGTGAGTTGAAGCCCCCTTCTCCTGATACCCCTCTTTCTGTTTCTTGTGATCATGCATTTCAGTTTGACTCCCATGCCATTTCTCAACATCTTTCCACTAGTGTTACTGTTAGTGATGGACTGTTAGATTTGGATTATTCTACTACCAAAATGTTGGCACAAAATATTTTCAGTGACGCAGATTCTGTCTCCCAGTATAGGAGAGGGTTAGAGGAAGCTAGTAAGTTTCTTCCTCCAGGACCTCAGCTTGTAACTGGTCTTGAATCAAAGGGAGAATCATTCAGTGTGGTTGGGGTGAATTCTGTTGCGTTGAAGGGTAGAACGAATCATGAGCGCGAAGGAGGTGATACCAGAGAAGAAGGGAGAAGTAGCAAGCAATCAGCAGTTGGTGTGGTTGATGAGAGTGACTTATCAGATATGTTTGATCAAGTGTTGCTTAGTGTGGAGAAACCACTCTGTAATGAACATGGTTGCTTGCAGAATGGAACAGTGACAGCCGACAAGGCAGGTGAAAATTCACCTTCATCTAATGGAGGGAAGGCTCGTCCTAAGAAACAAGGAAAGAAGAAGGAAACCGTGGATTTGAGGAGTCTTCTGCTTTTATGTGCACAAGCTGTGTATGTCAATGACAATAGGACTGCCAATGAACTACTAAAGCAGATAAGGCAACATTCTTCTCCCTTTGGAGATGCATCGCAAAGGTTGGCTCATTATTTTGCCAATGGCCTTGAGACACGCTTGCTCGGTGATGCTACGGGTTCACAAGGACTTTTTAACTCTCTGACCTTCAGGAGGATCACTGCTGCTGAGTTTTTGAAAGCTTACCAAGTTTTTATATCTGTTTGCCCTTTCAAGAGGTGTGCATATTTCTTTGCAAATAAAATGATTATGAAAGCAGCTGAAAAGGCAGAAACCCTTCATATTATTGATTTTGGTATCCAATATGGTTTCCAGTGGCCATTTCTTATTAAGTTTTTATCAGATAGAGATGGTGGACCTCCCAAGCTAAAGATCACTGGCATAGAGTGGCCCCAACCTGGCTTTCGTCCCACAGAAAGAAATGAGCAGACTGGTTGTCGTCTGGCTAACTATTGCAAGCGTTTCAACGTTCCCTTTGAGTACAATGTCATAGCATCACGTAACTGGGAAACCATTCAAGTACAAGACTTTAAAATTGAGAGCAACGAGCTAGTTGCTGTAAATTGTATGATGAGGTTTGAGAATTTAATGGATGAGACTTTTGAAGTCAACAGTCCTAGAAATGCAGTTCTGCAGTTGATCAGGAAGATAAATCCGGATGTTTTTGTGCAGTGCATCGTTAATGGATCTTATAATGCCCCTTTCTTTGCCACACGTTTCAGGGAGGCGCTGTTCCATTTTTCTGCTATGTTTGATATGTGTGACTGTGTCATATCCCGTGATAACGAAAAGAGGATGATGCTTGAGAGGGAACTTTTAGGTCGGCATGCTCTCAATGCTATAGCATGTGAAGGCTTCCAGAGAATTGAGAGGCCTGAGACATACAAACAGTGGGAAGTTAGGAATACGAGGGCTGGTTTCAAGCATCTTCCACTGAATGAGGAATTAATGGCCAAATTAAGGACCAAGTTCAAGGAATGGTACCATAGAGATTTTGTATTTGATGTAGACAACAACTGGATGCTTCAAGGTTGGAAGGGCCGCATTTTGTATGCATCTACCTGTTGGGTGCCTGTATAATAAGGTGCTGCTGGACTCTTGGACTTGTTTCAGAACTCATACTAGACTAAAGGTATGATTCTAAGAATCACTCGTAGGTTCTTACTCTATCCACTTCTTACTTCCTTGTTTTCCCCTGTTAAAAGTTTTGAGTTATAGTCCTACTACATACTAATGCTTGGCGCTTATTTGAGATATTTCAGAATGTATGTTGTAATGGTGATGCTTATGTGCTCTTTAAATGGTTTCAGGTTCTGGTATCCCCGGTCTGGCCTATTTGCTTAACTGTCAGGTGCTGTGATGAACATTCTTCCAAGCTTTGCACCACGTTACTATTGAAACTTGTGGCAGAACTTCTCTGGTAGAATGGAGACCTGTGATTGTGATTGTAATTCTAATTCTATAATAGTAGGGTGGGCATATTAGAGTAGGAATGCCCTTTTACCATGGTTTCCCGAATATTTGTAATCAAAATGTTGAGATATTTTCTCTCTGACCATCATGTGTTAGTGTTGAAGAAGATATCATCTTATCATGTAAATATATTCAGTTTGTGTGTAATCTTAGTTGTTTCCTAGTTGTTAGCTTGTATTCCTAGTTTGTTAGTGTAGTTACCATCAGATCCGATGCTGGTACCAGCTTGTGCGTCCAGCTTTCTAGCTCATGCGATCAGCTCCTAGTTTTTAGGATTGTTAAGTTTGTTTATAATTATTTGTATTTTTGTTCAGCCTATTTAAAAAGGCAACCATCAATATATCAAAGCAACATATTGATACCATATTTTATCTTGGTATCAGAGCGATCCGAAACACTTCCGCAAATACGAGTGAGTGCGAAAGCTTGTCTCATCTAAGATGGCAGGAGAAAATAGCAGCGCCTTAAAGCCTTCGGATCCTGACTCTCCCTTTTATCTAGGAGGGTCGGATAATCCAGGCGTCATTCTAACCATAGTGCAGCTGCGTGGAGAGGCCAATTATGACAACTGGGCCAAGCTGATGCAAAACGCACTCAGCGCAAAGAACAAACTTGGTTTCATCACTGGCGATGTGAAGAAACCGGAGAAGGATAACGCCGCGGAATGGCGTGCATGGGTCAGGTGCAATTCTATGATCAATGGGTGGATTCATAACACCATTGATCCTAAGTTGCAACCATTTATTAAATGTTTTGCTGACGTCAAAGACTTGTGGGACGACCTAAAGGAGAGGTATGCTGTTCAGAATTTCCCGAAGCAGTATCAACTCAGAGCTTCCCTCACAAACACACGGCAGCAAGGAAGTACTATTGGTGAATATTACACCAAGCTTCGCGCAATTTGGGATGAGCTCGAAGGTGGCAAGATTTCCAAATCATGTGCATGTGGAGATAATTGTGCAGTGGCCAAGGAGATAGAGGAAGGCAGAGAACATGAACGCGTGTATCAATTCCTTATGGGATTGGATGAAGCACTCTTTGGGAACTTACGTTCTCAGATTCTTAATACATCTCCTCTTCCATCCCTTAATAAAGTTTATGCAACTGTTACACAGGAGGAGACACACCGCGCCATTGCCCGTGGCCATGATGATCGCAGCACTGTCATCGGTTATGCAGCACGCACCGAAGCCAGTGGCGGACAGGATGCACAGGCGCAACGCATGGTTGCGGTCCAGCCAGCAGCTCGTGTTCCATGCCCTCACTGCGGGAAGACCAACCATGATCCATCTCGTTGCTGGAAAATTGTCGGATTCCCTCAGTTTCGTGGTGCACCTCGCGGCCGTGGCAGGGGACGAACAGGAACAGGTGGACGCGGACCCCATGAACAAGCATATGCCGTTCAAACATCAGACGCTATGCAAACAGCAACTGCATCACAAACAGCGGCTGTTCTGTCCTCACCAAATGCAGCTGCATTCTCGGTTCTCACTCCAGAAGTAGTGCATAAACTCATGACATTGGTGGATCACTCTCAGGCAAATCAAACCACCGACAAGTTGTCTGGTAAGGCTACTCAATCACAATGGCTTATTGATAGCGGTGCTTCGCAGCACATGACAGGGTCTCTGGAATTATTAATGGATGTTAGAAAAATCAAACCTCTAGCAGTGGGGTTACCTAATGGTGAAATTACTCATACTGAACAACAAGGGACAATGGTGTTCGAAAACAATTTTACATTGTCTAATGTCTTGTTTGTTCCCCATTTGCGCTGCAATCTGATTTCAGTGTCTCAATTATTGCAGCAGAATAACAATAGAGTAATTTTTACTAATGGAAAATGTATTTTGCAGGACCAAGCATTGATGAGGGAGACTGGATTGGGTGATATTCATGCAGGAGTTTATGTGTTTCAACCAAAGCATGCTTCAGTTTCTACCGTAAGAGTTCAGGAGTCTGCAGAGTTGTGGCACAGACGGTTGGGTCATGCATCCTATGAAGTTGTGTCTTTGCTTCCGTTATTTTCTCATAATTCAACTAAAATTGCAGCGAATAAAACGGCATGTGCCATTTGTTGTCGTGCTAAGCACACTAGAACTATGTTTCATTCAAGCAGTAATCGAAGTAAACAATGTTTTGATTTAATTCACTGTGATACGTGGGGACCCTATCGTTCTTCTTCCTCTTCAGGTGCACATTATTTTTTAACAATCGTTGATGACTTTAGTCGATTTGTTTGGGTGTATATGTTAGCTGAAAAGAAGGAGACTTGCGATCGTATTCATAAATTTTTGGCTATGATTAGAACCCAATTTGGAAAAATGATAAAAATTTTGCGTTCTGATAATGGGACTGAATTTAAATCAAATAAATTACTGCAGTTGTATCATGAAAATGGGATAGTTCATCAAACGTCTTGTGTTTATACACCGGAACAAAATGGGCGTGTAGAGCGAAAGCATCGACATATTTTAAATGTTTCTCGGGCGTTATTGTTTCAAGCTGATTTACCCATCGATTTTTGGGAAGAAAGTGTGCTTGCAGGGGTCCATTTGATTAATAGAACACCATCCAAAATTCTTTCAGGCAGTACACCACATGAGTTACTATATGGGGTGGTCCCAAATTATGAACACTTGAAAATTTTTGGATGTTTGTGTTTTGCTAATGTCAGACCAAAGCCTACGGATAAATTTGCATCTCGATCTCGCAAATGTCTGTTTGTAGGATATCCTACTGATCAAAAAAGGTGGAGAGTATATGATTTAGAAAATAGAGAATTTTTTGTATGCAGGGATGTCAAATTTTATGAAGAAATTTTTCCTTTATCATCACATGTTGCACCAAAAAATGCGCCTGCATTATCCTTGCTGCCTCCTTCTATTCAGGTCACGGGTGAAGATGCGTCCAATAATATGTTGTCCGCCCATGATAATGCTTATACACCTGCAATTGAATACTATGCAGAAGGCGCCGATCAAGTACTTACACCTGTATCACATGCAGACGACAGGGGGAGTAATATTTACGTAGACGTCGAACAAATTCATGCTCCCGAATCTCATGCAGGCGACATCCACGCTGAACAAATGGCTGCACCCGAATCCTATGCAGGAGACGTTAATGCAGATACGTCATGCACTTTAACGGTGCAATCAAGAGCACCAATTCCTGTGCCATGCTCTTCACGGTCGCAACCAGTTGAGGGCCGAAGTCAGCGATCACGGAAAACTCCAACATACCTTCAAGATTATGAATGCAATGCTATTGAAACACATAAATCTCTTCCTGCTCTTCCAATCAGTCACTTCTCATATGCAAGGTCAGGTATTAAATATCCATTATGTAATTCTCTTAGTTTATCTAAATTCTCTCCATCCCATCGTGCGTTTGTAGCAGCTATTGATGCAGGATGTGAGCCTCGCCATTTCAGAGAAGCCATGCAGAATTTGAAATGGGTCGAAGCTATGAGAAAAGAGATCACTGCACTAGAGGATAATGGGACATGGGCTGTCACGGTTTTGCCACCGAATAAAAGAGCATTACCTAGCAAATGGGTTTTCAAAATAAAATATCATTCTGATGGAACCGTGGAAAGATACAAGGCACGGTTAGTTATTGCAGGTAACCATCAGATAGAAGGCGAAGACTTTGGTGAGACTTATGCGCCTGTTGCAAAAATGACAAGCGTTAGAACTCTCTTGGCAGTTGCCGCAGCTAAGCAGTGGGAACTACATCAACTAGACGTGCATAATGCTTTCCTAAATGGAGAGCTTAGTGAAGAGGTGTATATGAAATTTCCTCCAGGATTTAGCAATGGAACAAAAGATCAAGTCTGCCGTTTGAAAAAGTCACTCTACGGTTTGAGACAATCTCCAAGAAACTGGTTTAGTAAATTGAGCTCCTCACTTATGAAATACGGTTTTCAACAATCTCATGCTTATTATACCTTATTCACATTCCAAAGAGGTGGTATTTTTCTTGCTCTCCTGGTTTATGTTGATGATATAGTGTTGGCAGGAAATAATACTCAAGCATGCACTCAAGTCAAGGAATATTTAAACAAGTGTTTTAAAATCAAGGACTTGGGCAGGTTGAAATACTTTCTTGGGATTGAGATAGCCCGTAACAAAGAAGGAATATTTTTGTGTCAGCGGAAATATGCTCTTGATATTTTACATGAAGCAGGTCTTAGTGGAAGCAAACCAGATGTGTCTCCTATTGAACAGAATCATCGACTTGGCCTTGCTGATGGACCAGACATCGATAATCCTGAGAGATATAGAAGATTGATTGGCAAATTGATTTATTTAAACATTACAAGACCAGATTTGAACTATGCTATTCATGTCCTCTCTCAATTTATGCAGCATCCTAAGCAAGTTCATTATGATGCTGTCCTACGAGTGTTAAGGTATGTGAAACAAAATCCTGGACAAGGACTCTTATTGAAAAGCGCATGTGATCTCCAAATCCATGCCTATTGTGATTCAGATTGGGCTTCTTGTCCTCTTACAAGAAGATCTGTTACTGGATATTTTGTTATGTTGGGCACATCACCTATTTCATGGAGAACAAAGAAACAGGTCACAGTTGCACGTTCTTCTGCTGAAGCTGAGTATAGAGCCATGGCAGCTGCTACAGCAGAGTTAATTTGGTTAAAGGGTTTTCTTGCGTCTCTTGGTGTGCATCATACAATACCCATGCAGTTATTTTGTGATAATACAGCAGCTCTCCATATTGCTGCTAACCCCGTTTTTCATGAACGGACGAAACACATTGAGCTGGACTGCCATTTCGTTCGAGAACATATTCAGGCGAACACCATTGCTACATCCCATGTTCGCTCCTCCGCTCAGCTGGCAGATCTTTTTACCAAAGCTTTGGGACAGTCTGTCTTTCTTGCATTCCTTCCCAAGTTGGGCATTTCATTCTTACATGCTCCAACTTGAGGGGGAGTGTTGAAGAAGATATCATCTTATCATGTAAATATATTCAGTTTGTGTGTAATCTTAGTTGTTTCCTAGTTGTTAGCTTGTATTCCTAGTTTGTTAGTGTAGTTACCATCAGATCTGATGCTGGTACCAGCTTGTGCGTCCAGCTTTCTAGCTCATGCGATCAGCTCCTAGTTTTTAGGATTGTTA